TTCTGTTCGTTCAGTTGGTGGAGCCCTTTTTGGGAATTTGAAGTTTCTTTTACATTTTCCTCCCCTTCTATTTGGGACCATTTACTGTATCCCTGGTCAGAATGGTTGGTCGGCAGGCACCCGAGAGTTCTTCTGGTTTCAAAGCAGAAAATGCCACATGTGTAGACTAGTAGTCCTACGGTCTCGTTTCTTCTTTGAATCTGATTTCTTTCACTCTTTTGCTTCATATTAAGTAGAGACCAACATTCACTGCCATTGAGTTGATTCCAACTCATATTGACCCTGCAGAACGGAGTCAAACTGCCCCTGTGAGTTTCTGAGACCGTAACTCTTTATGGGAGTAGAAAGCTTCATCTTTCTCCTGAGGAGGTGGTTTCAAACTGCTGACCTTGTGGTTAGCAGCCCAACATATAACTGCTACGTTCCCAGGGCTCCCTATAGTTGTATCTTATGTATGTGTGTATGTATGTATGTATGTATGTTGTGTGGTCACTCTCAAGCTTGTAAGAGTCCAGACACTATTTCACCGTACTAAGATGTGCAATGTTATCTTTATGTTATGCCAATGGACTGAATTGTTCCGAGATTATGGCCCGTGGTGAAGTGAAATTACCCGGAATGCCTCTTCCATCCATGTCTTTGTAATTTCACACACTTTGGCAAATAGGGGGTGTGAAACACTGATAGAAGGAACGGGTCAGCTTTGCCATTCCACTGAGTATATTAGAGTGAGCCACTTCAGCAGCAGAGAGAGAAACCCCACAATCCTCCAGAAGGAACAGCCACAAGCGGAGTATGTGTGAGATCCTGTCTAAAGTGGTGAAGGCACCAGAGCCACCAGCATGGACATCACAAAACAGAGCAGAGGAGCCATGCCAAGACCATGAGGCAGAGCCAAGGAGCAGCACAGGGACTGGGAGGCAGTGTGGGGGGGCTTCCTGGTCCACAGAGGCAGGGGCCAAGGGACCATGTGGCTGAGGCCAAGGACCGGAGAGACAGGCCTGGCAGCACAGCTGAGAAAAGGCATTTCAGACAAAAGAACCGTGTAACATTTTGTAACCCGTTAGCTCCCTTAAGACTCAAAACTCATGCCATCGAATCGATTCCAACTCATAGTGACCCTAGAGAGCGGGGAAGAACTGTCTCTGTGGGTTTTCATGACTCTTAACTCTCTACAGGAGAAAGCCTCATCTTTTTCCCTCTGAGCAGCTGGTAGCTTCAAACTGCTGACCTTGTGGTTAGCAGCCCAATGCGTAACCATTACACTATCAAGGCTCCTCGCTTCCCTAGTAAACCCCCATAAGCTTCAGTAGCACCTGTGAGTTTGGTGTGGCCACTGCCACAGAGTATTGAACTCAGCTGAGAGGTGGAGACCCTTGGAAGGGATGGTTCTTTTCAGGACGGGAAGGAACGTGGAGGGATAGGCGAGCCTTGGAGGAATCAACCTGGAGTTGGGGTGGAATTGGTTTCGCTTCCTCTGTGTAGTCAGCCGGCCCCCACCACGCCATTTCCACATGGTCTCGAGTCTTTTGACCCAGGAACCAATCCTGTGCGTTGTTTGAATATGTCTAGGAAGCCTCTGTAACTATGGCCCCCTCACTTAGCCTGTGGTAGTCATTTATAAGAAGTAATGCCAACGTATGTACAAGTGTGCTTAATACAATTGGTGGATTGTCACAAGATTTGTAGGAGCTCCCAATAAAATGAATAAAAAAAGAATTAGTGCCAAACTAGGCCCAAGAGTTGGAGAAATTCCCAAAGTCCAACTCTTCCAAGCTGATAGGCTGTTTCATCCCCACCTCCCACCCCTCCGAGTGTTACCTCGTTACTGGGTTCTGTGAATCACTGCTGTGTCCCACAGAACTCACGAAAGTTTGTGGAAATGTCTCACAGTGGGTGGCTGGTGCAGTTCAGGCCAAGGGAAGCCAGCCGCTGGGGCTAGATGACTTATTCCGCTCCTTGCTCCTGCTGGTGATGAGATCACACCCCCTGCTTCTCATTGGGCTCACTTTATACACAGCAGGATGGCATTCCGGGGAATCCTGGTCACAATCACTCACAGGCAAATCCTATCAGTGTCTTTCCCCACCTTCTGAGCAGACCCTTGCAAGGAAAGGTTGTTTGGTGGGAGTTATATGGTGCAATCAAATTTCACCCAAATGTAATGATCTATTCTCCACCCCTGAACTTATCTTATGAACATGTGACCTGGGGCCTCTGCCAAAATGATTCCAGTAGGCATTGACTTCCCACCAATCTGAGCCAGCCAGGCTTTTCCGCAGGCCACTCCAGAAACAGTTTTCCTTCTCCTCTCAACTGTACTGTGTAATTCCTTAGATTCGTTGTGTGGTAGTCACACAATTCCATGTCAACTTGATAGTGAAGGGGTGGAGTTTAGCCTGTCAATCAGGTAACAGCCTCTCTTCCTCCCTGGAGGCGGGACACACTCTGCTTCACCTTCCTGGAGCCACGCAGCCTGGAGATGCGTCCACTGCATTAGGGCCACAGGACTTTCCACTCATCAGCCTGTGATCGTCCTGCATTTGGCATCATTGCATGGGCTCTGTGAGTCTGGAGTAATTTATGGCCTAGTTTCAGACATAGGGGCTACTATCAGATTTGTGGACTTGAACTGGACTAGGCTGGGATGTTTTCTCAATATCAAATCATTGCTCTTTGATATAAAGATCTCTTTTACGCACGAGTGTCTCTGGATCTGTTTCTCTCGTCATCCAGGCCTAACAGACATTGTAAGTAAACACAACTAAAATAACCATTAAACAAAGAGTTCACACTCTCTACTAAGGTCAGAATGCAATCTCATCCCACTCCTGTATGTTTGCAGATAATGTCCCAAATAGGACCACAGCCTCAGGCGTATGAAATCTGGAATTATATAGCACATAAGGGATTATGGCTGGAAGGACCATATTGAGTATAACTCAACTGGAAGTAAATGTAACCATTTGACGGAGAAAACTGAAGCTCAAGGAGCTAGAGCAGGGGTCCTCAAACTATGGCCCGTGGGCCACATGCGGCCGGCCGAGGACATTTATCCAGCCCGCCGGGTGTTTTTGCCCCGTTTGTTTTTTTACTTTAAAATAAGATATGTGCAGTGTGCATAGGGCTTTGTTCATAGTTTTTTTAATATACTACAGTCCGGCCCTCCAACGGTCTGAGGGACAGTGAACTGGCCCCGTTTAAAAAGTTTGAGGACCCCTGAGCTAGAGTAAGGAGTAACTGGCCCAAGGTCACAAGGTGAATTGCATGGCCATGAATGAGAACTTTTGATGTGGGCTGCCCTGATAAGGGATGTGGTCGTGGGTGAGAGCTTCCCTCAACCAAAGGCAGTGTTCAGAGCACTGCACACTGAGGCTCATCAGCTGACAGTGGGAGGAAGCGCCGTTCAGCCCTGAAGGGGGTCTTGGTGGCTCCTCAGTGTCCACTGCATGTCACATAAATGGTGCTTATATTCCTGTGGGTCTCTGCTTCCCCGGATCAGTTACCTAGGGCTGCTAGAACCACAGACCACACACTAGGTGGCTCTAAAGAACAGACAATTGGGCTCAGTCTCAGTTCTGGGGCCAAACCATGCTTCCTCTGATATGTCAAAAAGCAAGATCCTTTCTTGTTGCCTAGCTTCTGAGAGCCAAGGAGCCATGACTGAGGGCTTCACATGGCAGCCCTCCTGGGCATCTCTTCTGTTCCACATGGTGATTACCCAGACTGGGTTGGGCCTAGGACCCACTCTACTGCAATATGACCTAACCTTCACATTTTCAAACACGGTCCCTTTCTCCTTGTTAGCGGGCTTCAACGCATCCTTTTGAGGAACACAATTCGACCCTTAGCACCTGGGTTTGAGGCCACACCTTAACCCCAACCCACACCTTAACCCCAGCCTCATCTGAGTCCCTAAGACGACTCCAAGACAGGCTTGCAGTGGCGTTTCCCATAGCTGCCCACACCTGTGCAGCATCCAGACGCTGGAGGCAGCCGCATCCAGTGCCAGAAACGCTGCCAGAAACGGCTGTCTCCCAGCCATGGAGAGAGGGCGGAATGCTGGCAGCTCTGGCTGAGCACAGACCTGTCTGCTCTCCATACTGATGGCCGTCTTGTGAGGGGGTGCTTCCTGTTTGCACTTTTTATTGTGAACTGGGTAAGGTTTGGAGAGCAGGTACGTTTTCCGTTGACTAATTCATACACATTGTTTCATGTCATCAATTGCAATCGCTACAAGGTGACACCATTTGTCCCACGTCCACCCTGTTTCCTGTCTCCATTCCTCTTTTCCTAACCTTTCTGAACATTGTACTTGGGGAAATGCTGCCCTTTTGATCTCAAACTGTTAATCATTCTAAAGCGTGTGTAGCTCCCTAGTGCTATTATTCTCCGTATACACCTATCTACTGTTTGCCTGTAAATTGAGCTGAGGGGAGCGGGGAGTTCATTTCCAGACCTGAAAGATGACTAAGGGCTAAAGGCTTGAGTGTTCTACCAGTCTCTACCCCAAAACTGATAAGCCTAACCACGTTTTAAAAATTATTTTGAAAAAATTTCCAGTGTTTTTTCCCACTCTATCCAGCACCTTCTAATGTGAGCCCCTACAGAGCCGCTGGTGGTGGAAGCCGGGCACCATCCAATGCTTCTCAGGACCACATTGCTGTGGTCCATGAGTCCATCAGACCATTTGTTTTCATGTGCCCTCCTTTCCTCCAGACGGGAGAGGCCAGCAGCTGCCCCTTAAGGGCTGCTGGAGAGAGTCTCCTCCCTAGAACAGGAGAAGGAAGATGGCTTGTGTGCCACATGCTGGGCCAGAAGTGGGTGAGGAAACTGAAGCTGGACTCTTAGACTTTTCCTTAGCAAGGAGCTAAGCTCTGAACTCCCCCAAATCCCCAAATGTCAGAGTGCTGTTTAGATGAACCCTTTGGACACGTTGCCATTTGCTTCCCCCACCCCCCCACCCCCAACTACTCCAGAGAGGTCCTAACCACCACTCCCCCACACTGTACCAGGGGGTCTGAGTTGGCACTGTTTGAACTGGCTCTCTCTCCAGATCAACACTGGCATGGGCCTGGGTGTGGCTTCCTTTTGGGGGGCCCAGGGCTCTGAGTCTTGTGGATGAAGCGGATGCCACCCCAGTCTTCCTCCAGCTTGATGTCGCCCTGCCGAAGGGCTTGCTGGATGGCATTAGCCAGGGTGTCGAAGGCCAGGTCCACATTACTGTGGCTCCTGGCTGACGTCTCCACAAAGGCCATGCCCAGGGAGGCGGCCAGCTCCTCCGCCTCCTGGGCTGAAACACAGCGGGTGTTCTGCAGGTCACTCTTGTGGCCAACCAGCATGAAGACGGCCTTGTGGGGGCCTTGGGTGGCCATCACCTCCTCGTGCCAATCTCGAATGTGGTCAAAGGACTTCCTGTTGGTCACGTCAAAGACCAGCAAGACGCCCACCATGTTCCGGTAAAAGGACCTGGTGATGCACCTGAGGGGGGCAGGGAGGTAAGCTGAGATCCCCCAGAGTTGAACCTCGTCCCCCGAGATCCACTGAATCCTGCCACCACCACCACCCCCAGCCCCACTGAAGCTCATGTCACACTGCCTGCTTCTGTGTCTCTCCGAGGGGCCTGGGTGCTCTACAGATGAGTCACATGGTCTTCTCACCATGGTCAGATCCTTGGTGCCCAGTCCTCTCCTCAACCTCAAGGTCCAACTCAATCAAATATGGCTTCCTTTGACATGTCCCTGAAACCTGGGTGCCTCCCTGTCGACTCAGCCACCAGGCCCCTCACATCTCTGTGCTCAAAGCTGAGCTCCTCTCATCGGAAGGCCGGGGCGGTCGTAGAACGGTCACATCAGTGCGAGGTATTTGGACCACCTAGCAAGACCCACAGCTATTTGTGGGATGAATAATGGGCCAGAGAGTGTGGCCCAGGAGACCCAGAAGCAGGGTAGTGACACCTCCCCCTCCCCCGGAACTCTGCCCTGGAGCTGGCACTGCTGAGGGGCCCCTGGGCAGGCACCGATCTTCCTTCAGCCAGATGTACCCTTCGCCCTGCCCTCACCCGCAGCCAGCACGCACCTGAAACGCTCCTGGCCCGCGGTGTCCCAGAGCTGCAGCTTGA